AAAGCCCAAAGCTAGGAGTAAGGAGACCCGAGTCTCCTTTGCGACCCTGATGAACGTGTAACCTTGGGGAAACCCCATTCGAGGCCAGCGTGGTCCCTGCATGGCCTGCACCTTTTGAAGGACGGCTTGCTGCACAGAAGCCTCCTGGCTGGGGCGAGGCTGGGCTCTGAGAACCCCACTTAGAGGGGCTTTTCCACGACTCTCAGCATCATCAGTGGTGCATAAAGTCCAAGTTCATACCCCGACCTTGGCATTCACTGGGACTCTAGCTTATTCTTGCGTCTCCTTGGTTTTCTCATCCGTAAAGTGAGAATGATTGCAGACCTCAGGACTGTGAGGGGGTCAAGCAGGATACCACAAGTGAGAGCTCCGCAGAGTTCCAGGCTCTTGCTGAGCACTTGTAAATTAGACTTGGATGACTTTTAAATGTATTTTTGCAGTTTCGTATTTTATTTGTAACTCATGCTTGTAATTATGGTGTTTTCTTCTAGTAATTCCAGTGGCAGCTCCTGGGACTTGAACTTTCTCTTACGACCCTTTCTGTAGATCATGCCCCCAAAGAACCTCATGGCCACAATGGGGAAGGCACCAGGCACAGGTTCTGTCTGACCCAGGGGCATCCTAAAATGCTTACCCTCCATGGGGGTGCTCAGGTCAGGCAGGGCTGTGGGCTTGACTCTGCCCAGCCAGGTAAAAGTGGCTCCCCCAGGCTTCCTTCCAGCCTTGTAGGGGTAGCGGGGCTTTTCAGAAACACCCCCTCTTCTCTCATCCCCCCATCCTCCCCCACCTGAAATCAGCCAGGCTTGTGGGGGTGGGGGTTGCTTCCCTGATGACAAGAAAGGCTTCACAGCCCCTCAACAAAGTTCACATCCCTTCCTGCCTTAGGTCCCTGTAGGATGCCCCTGGCCCCAGAGCCAGGTGGCTCAATCCTCACTTACCCAGACCCTGCCAGGCTCTCTTCTTTCCAAGGGATATATAGTTATAGAAAGGGGTAGAGGGAAGGCAGGAGGACAGGAGAAGAAATGGAATATGTGAAAAATACTGGAATAAGACTAAAGTTACATACAAAGCCAGTTAATATCCATAGGACAATAAATAAAATTATACCCTTTAGGGCTAATTTCTCTGCCAAACAGAAATTATTTACTTCTCCCCACAAAAATCATTTGCGTTTTATCAGTTTTCTGTAGATTAGCACCTAACATATGTCATCTGGGCCCCAGTCAACAGCAAATATGAGCCAAAGCTACTTTCCCCTGGAGAATCAGCTAACTCCTAGATGGCTTTGTAACATGATACTCTAAAGTAGCATTGTCAATATAAATATAATGCAAGCCACATACGTAGTTTTAAATTTTCTAGTAGCCACATTTTTTTAAAAGAAGTAACCGGTAACATTAATCATGACAATATATTTTAATTAACCCAATATATCCAAAATTATTATCATTGCAACATGTAATCAATACCAAAAATTTTCCTAATGAGGTATTTTTCATTCTTTGTTTTCTAACTAAGTGATTGAAACCTGGTAGGTATTTTATACTTACAGCACATCTCAATTCAGACTAACCACATTTGAAGCGCTCGATGCCACACACGGCTCGTAGCTGTTACACAGGGTAGTGCAGCTCTGGGGCATTGCTCCTCAGACTTTAGGGAGCATCAGAATAGCTGGAGGGCTTGTGAACACACAGATGGCTAGGCCCCACCCCCAAGAATTTCTGATTCAATGTGTGAGATGAGGTCTGAGATTTCGCATCTCTGACAAGTTCCTAGGTGATGCTGCTGCTGGTCTGGGTACCACACTTTGAAAATCACTGTTCCAGGATGACTTTGAAAGGGCTCACAGTCATCTTTTTGCCTTATTTGCAAGTTGTGGATAACTTTTCTTAGCAGCCTGAGGCTGGCAGGGGGCAGGACATGGGCTGCTGCAGCAACAGGCTCTCTCTGGAGAGTGTGCATTGGCTGGGTGTCTGGGTGAGAGCAGCCTCATGGACTACCAGCTGGCAGTGGGAGAGATTTCAGCAGCTCCACCATTGATGGCATCGACTCTGTGCAGTTCTGAGCTACAGGCTCAGAGGGAAGGGAAAAGGGGACTGACTCTCATTAACACCACTCTTCAGGTAATGCCAGCCAGGCTCAAAAACAGGTCCTGGGACAGGTCCTCACAGATGGAGGTACCAGCAGGGTCCTGGGGCTCTAAGGGAGGGGTGGTCCCCAAAGGCCAGACAGGAAATGGGAATTGGTGTGGGCCCAAAGGACAAATGCAACCTGTACTGGAAAGGGCATAAAGGCTGGGAAGACCTGCCCAGCAAGGGCTGTGGAAGAGGCTGAGAGGGAGTTCCACCAGGGGAAGCCAGGACCCTGCAGGAAACAGCAGCCTGAGGCACTGGGGAGGTAGGAAATAAAGGATGTCCCGGAAGCAGGCCTGGAAGGCACTTCAGCAGCCATCAGTTACTTGTCCCCTGGTTCATGGATGAAGATGGATGCCAGAGATGTATCCATCCATCGGTGGATTTATCCCAGACCACAGAGTGAGTCAATGCCTGGGCCAGAGCCTAGATCTCCAGCCCCATCCCAGGGACCCCTCCTCTGGATTCTGTAGGTTTGGGGGTGGGGTTGCATGCAGTGGGCACGTGTGATCATGTAAGGGAAGTGTGTGTCATCTTTGGGGCATTCTCATGCTTGTTGAATCATCAGTGACATCCAAGGGTTAGCATTGATCCCCTTCGGGACAGGGACTATGTCCTGTCCCACTCTTTTCCCCTCCTCAGTTTAGCACCTTCTAAAGGACTGAGTACATTAGCATAGAATTTAAATAAACTGGTCTACACTGTTTGTGATTAGGGTGTTGGAACTCTGTCATAAATGTGGGACGTGCATGAGGCAACTACTGTGGGCATAGAAGTGTCTACACCATGGGGTGTCTTATAGGGGTGTAGGGAGTCTTTACTGTGGCGTATAATGGGATGTAAATGGAGCGTCTACACTGTGCAGGTATACTATTTGGGAGCATCTGAATTGCCTGCACCTTGGGGAGGACCTATTGGATTATATATGGCATCTACACTATGGTGACTACCATTTGGGGACATATAAACTATGTGCACTGCAGGGTATCCCTCGGGTGGATGAAGTGGATACCTGATAGGTGTGCACTATTTGGGGTCACATGACATGTCTGCATCTCAGTGTTCTGCAGGGGTATATAGAAGGTCTACACTATGTGGAAGTGTCCACTGTGGGTGGAAACGTGCTGATGTACATAGGGAAAGGGAACTAAAGGGGGTTCCCAGAGGGACACCCATTGTGTGGGGGAAAATGACAGGTGCTAAGGGGTAGCAGTGGGGCAGAGGTGGGACTTGGGACGAGGTGCATCTCGTCCCAAGTGACTGGCACCAGTACCCAATGAGGGCCCCCCCCAGACACCTCTGTTCCAGAAGGGGTACCCACCACTCCCAACACGTGCGGACCTCCTCTTTGGGGACTAGATTTCAGAGCCTGTAACAGATCTTCCTCTGAATGTGAATTTCATGTTTGTTGACTTTGAAGGCAACTCTGATGTGTTAAAATGGATGCTCAAATTTGGAGTTCAAAACCAGGGGGTGCTGATAAATGAGGAAGCTGACCAGGGGAGCTCATAGAGCAGCCCGGGAGGCTGTGCCACATGCCAGGACCCCCACAGACTTTAGCCCTGCACACTACAGTTTGTACAGGGAATCTCCCCACATGTTCACAGAGTCCCATAGGGTCTAAGGCAGATAGTGATAGTATCCTGAATTTACTAACTGTACAAAACAAGAAGAGTATCCATGGTTACCTCAATGGTGGGTGGCAGGGCCAAGGCCCCACCATCCCAGCCAACAGCCTGGAAGGATGCAAGACCAGGTGCTCATGTGTTTGTCTAAAAAGCAGCCTCATCACTGCATATACTGTGCTTTTTTCCAGTTACTGTATGTGAAAAGGAAGGCACTCACTGTACCTGACAGGCGCACCATGCATATATGATGGGTACAGGCCCAGTGTGACTAGGCTTTCATTCTGTGTATAATGGATATAGAATATGTGTGAGGAAGATCTCTTTGAGGGTGCTAGGGCAGGGGTCTGCTATGTGGGAGCGAGATCTGTGCATGAGGGGGATTTGTTGGGGGGATCTGCTGTGAAGGAGAAAGGGGGGTCTGCTTACTATATGTGATGATTATACAGTATTTGCAATGACTATATTTTGGGTAATCATATACAACATAAAATGGTATATTAATGCATATAGTGCCATGTTCTTTCTGTGCATATACTACGTAGGATGGGCATACACTGTGTATGGTGGGTGGCAGGCTCTGTTTGTGATTAGTATCCCATATGTGTGTGGTAAGTACAGGCTATCTGTGGAATACATACTGTAAGGCTTATATGAAGGGTGTACCCTGAGGGTGGTGGGTGTACACTGTGTGGTGGCCATGTTTTGTGAGTAATAGTATATAAGGCATATACAGTGTAGAGAATGGATATACTGTCTAGGGCAAGTCTACACTGTGTGGGTGATGCGTACACTCTGGGGGAGGAACATGCTATGTGATATGGATGCATTATATGTGTGATGGGCATATACTATGACAAATACACATGGAGTGGAATAAGTTTACAGGTAAGTGTGAGTACCTGCTGCATGTGTATACATTGTGTGATGGGTATAGTTCATGAGAAATAGGTATATATGATACACATAATGGGCATATTCTTTAGGAATACATTTTGTGGGGGTGAATATACACTTTGTGGGACAGATAGGCACTGTGTGATCCTATACTGTGGGGGATAGTCTGTGTATGAAATAGTTGTTGGGACAGGTCTATTCTGTGGCTATCAGGCATCTTGTGTGTGCGCAGGTTACGATGGGAATATGGGGTTGTGCCTGGGAGGAGGCATGGCAGGGAGCAGTTGGATCTTCATCTGTTTCCAGAACCCCAGACCCTGAGTGCACCGACATACTGTTTCAGGTTCTTCCTCAAGTTCTTCCTCAAATGCAACCAGAACTGCCTAAAGAACGCAGGGAATCCCCGAGACATGCGTCGCTTCCAGGTGGGTCTAGGGAGAGGTTCACCCCTGCAAACCTGCCCTTTCCTGATAGTGGGAGTTAGGGGAGGCTATGGTCCTGCCACCGTGGGAAAGGCATTGAGGGCAGATCCCTGTCCAGCCCACCCCTATGCTTCAGGGTCTGGTGCCTACTGGGGGTGGGGCGGCTCCATCTCAACTTCTGCTGGCTGCCAAGGGAGGCTTCATTAGAGTCCCACTTAAGGAGATGCTAATTGTGACATTTTTACATGATTAACGACCCAGCTAATTTGCATAGCGTGAAGCAGAGAGCAGCTGCCCTTAGCTCATCCCCAACCTGCACACCCATCCCAGTGAAGGAGGGGGGAAGAAGGCAGCCCCAGTTTCCTCCCAAGGGTGGAGGCTCCTGCTGATGGGTTCTCAAGCTGATGCTGCCCTGGTACCCCCTCCTCCCCCAATCAAAACGCTCACTCCTGTTGCCTAAGGCCCATTCCTGCCTTGGAGCCCCAGGGGTACAGTCTGGGCTACTGTGTGTGCAAAAACAGTAGTCACTCCACCCAAGGAGACAGTTTTTCCCCCAGAGCTCTTGGTTTTTCTAGCTCCGGGGGTCAGTTTCCCTGGGCAGAGATTGTGCTTCTGGGGGTGCCACCTGACCCAACTGGCTCTCCTCACACCAGCTCAGTCCCTGAGGGGCTGAAGCTTTTCCCTGGTCAGTGACCCTGAATTCCAGCCTCCAGCCACCAGCCCGAAGTTGCTGGTGTCCCCCAACATTTCCCTCCTGGGAGCCTCCCCTCCCCAGGGCTCCAGCCCGGCTGGCCTCGGCTCTCCCCGCAGGTGGTGGTGTCCACGACCGTGAGCGTGGACGGACACGTATTGGCCGTGTCTGACAACATGTTTGTGCACAACAACTCCAAGCATGGCCGCAGGGCGCGCCGCCTGGACCCCTCCGAAGGTCAGGACCCCCGGTCCAGCCCCGCGGCTGCTGCCAAAGGCCCAGCCAGCCTCCCGTCCCCACCTTGGGGCCAGCCCCTGACCTGGCGCCTTTCCTGCCCCCAGCTGCCACCCCCTGCATAAAGGCCATCAGCCCCGGGGAGGGCTGGACCACAGGCGGCGCCACCGTCATTGTCATCGGCGACAACTTCTTCGATGGGTTGCAGGTCGTGTTCGGGAACGTGCTCGTGTGGAGCGAGGTGGGCCACCCCCCCAAACTCCCTCCGGGCCTTGGGGCTGGGCCTCCCCCCCTTACGCCCCACCCCGTCTTAACTCGCAGGCTTCTCTCGGTTCGCAGCTCATCACCCCCCACGCCATTCGGGTGCAGACGCCCCCGCGTCACATTCCCGGGGTGGTGGAGGTGACCCTGTCCTACAAGTCCAAGCAGTTTTGCAAAGGAGCCCCGGGTCGCTTTGTCTACACCGGTAAGGCGCCACGCGGGGAGCGGAGGCCCAGGGCTCGGGAGGGAGCAGCGTCCC